CATATAAAGGATTCATTAATTACTTTATGAATTTTTTTTTAAAAAAAATAAATAAATATGTATTGGATAATAAAATAAAAAAAAATACTTTATTTAGTAATTCTTAGATTTCTACAAAAAAATTAAGTATATTTTCTTCTTTTGTTTTCTCACTTGTTAATAATAAAAATTTCATATCTGTTTTTTAAATTTTAATAATTAATATGTTTTATTATTTAAATGCTTATATATACTTGTAGCAGTTATAAATGCAAATATACCCATGTCATATGATTTGTCTATACATTTTAAAAACCTATTTTAGTTATTTTGGAATATTTTTTAATAGTGTTTTATTAAAAAACTAAATTATTTATACATTTCTGAACTATTTTGCATTTTCTCTTCTACTATATCTAAAGATGAATGTAAAGCAAAATAATGAGTTATGTTTATTTAATTATCTTAATTTACTTTTTCTTTTATGCATAATAATTAATAATTGTTTTTTATATTTAATATATATACTATCTAAATTAGCTTCAAAAAGTGGTATATCACCTTTTCCTATAATAAAAAACATTTAAAAAGATATTATGAGAAAATAAATTATTTATAATTTAAAAATATTTTTGATATATATTTATATATTCAATATTTTTTTTTTTATATAATAAAATATATCTCATAAAATAATTATTTATACTAGTAAATAAAAATTCACAGAAAAAAAATAAAAAAATATATTTAAAAAATCATTTCTTTTTAAACTTTTATATTAAAAAATAAACAACAGAAATAACCAGAATTGTAATAATCAAGTTAGCTTTAATAGTACAAATATTTTCCAAACTTTAATATGGATAATCAGAAAATTATCTTGGATTTTCATTTAAATTATAATCAGTTTCTTCATTATATTCATTTTATAGCAATTATTCTTACATTTTTCTATAAAAATAAACTTGATTTAAAACAAATTATTATTTATTTATTTCTAAATTATCACATCCTGCTACTAAAGCAAATATAAAAAGCATTAATAATAAATAAATAATATTACTCCAATTTATATATAAAGAACTATTTTTTTAAAAAAATAATAATAAATAAATATTAGGAATATATTTATTTTTAATCACCCAAATACAGATGGCCTTTTAGCTTTTTATGTAAAAGCAATTATTTAATATTTTTTATTTGTTTCTATTTGCATTTCTAATTATAAAAATTGTTAATTATGTTAATTATTTTTCTTGAATTCTATTTTTTCGCTTATTAAAACATGCCAAAAAGTTTATCCAGAGGTAAGCATTAATATATCCTTGAATTCCGTTACTAATTTTATTAAAAATTATTATATGTTTTAATCTTTTAATAGCTTATTTTAATTAGGAAAGATGATAAATATATTTAAATAAGCTTCTTATCTTTAATATTTATATATTGAATAATGTTTATTTATTATATTTTATTTTCTGCTCTTTTTGTTTTTTGTTTTATATGATATAAAAAAATAAAATACTCTTTTATTATTTATTCTTCATATGTTTCAAGACTTTAAGGAATCGAAAAATCTATATATTAAGGTTTATAACAAAAAATAGTTATGTTTTCATAATTTATTAATAGAATATTATTTTAGTCATGGCTAAATTTTTTATTACTAAATATAATATATTTTTCTTTTTTACTTTATATTATAGGTTGGTTATTAAGATACGATTATGATGAATTCTTCATTTTTTATTTGCTCAGTTAGAATATTCAATATTTATTTAATGTTTTATTCTTTAAATAATTTAGGATTTAACTAATAATCAAGAACATTTTGAATTATTTAAAAGTCTTTTTTATTAAGTTAACAAATTTTTATATTTTCTTCTTTTAAATATATATTTTTGTTTTTCATTTTTATAAAAAAAAAAATCTTTTTTAATCGTTTTTAATTTATTTTTAAAATAGAACAAAAAAATAAAAAAATTATAAAAATAAAAACTATAAAATATTATTAAACTTAAAACCAAAAAAACATATATATAATACTTTAAAATAATTTTCATAAATTTTAATTTTATTACTATTAGTCTTATTAATATTCTTTATAAGTCTCATCTTTTTGCTTTAATTACGGCTCTTCATCTTCATATTCATCATATTATTATTCTAGATTATTTTTTTGATAAAAATTATCTTATTATTATTATTCTGGTTCTGGTTCTGGTTCTTGTTCTTGTTCTTGTTCTTGTTGTTAATGTTTTTAATGCGAATCATTTAATTATTATAATGATTTACTTTAATTTTCGTCTAAATTTTCATATTATGATTGATTATCTTCATCAAAGTTTTAATCATAGTTTTATTCATATTAATCTTAAGAAATAACTGAATTATCATTTTATTTTTATTATTCTTCTGATTCTTTTTTTTTTTAATCTTATTTATCAGATTATTTTGTATTTTTTTATACTTATTACTTATTATTATTATTATTATTATTATTATTATTATTATTATTATTATTATTATTGTTATTATTGTTATTATTGTTATTATTGTTATTATTAATATTTTGTATTTATATTTTTTTATGAATTTTATTTTTAAGGATCAAATTATGTAAATAGTTTAAAGAAGATTTTCTAATTTTATTTTATATTATCTATCTATTAAGTTTTAATTAAATGTATAGATTTATTTTGGTTGTTTGTAAATATTCTATTTAATAATTATTCTGGTTAATTTTAGCATTCTTTTTTAAGAAAATCTATTCCTTTTTTATATATTTTTCATTTATTCATTTATATAATTTATATTTACCTTCTTATTCATTCATTTCTAATTGATAAAAATCTTAGTTTTATAAATTATTTAAAGTAATAACGAATTGTCTTTTTTTATTTATTAAATTTTTTTTTTATTTTTTTTTAAATAAAATACCTATCAACTATTTTAATTTAAACCAAATAAAATAGATATCCTATCCTTCTTGCTTTTTTATATATTATTATTTCTTCTTTTTTATTTTTAAATATTGGTTCAAGCTTTTAATTAGAATTCTTTTTTACTTTTTTTATTTTTTTTTCAAAAAAATAAATAAGAAAAAATTCTAAATATAAATAATTTTATATATAGCAATTTATATTAATAAAATGTAAATTTTTAAAACATATGTTTCCCACTTAAACTATTATATTAGCTATTATTTTAATTATTTCCCATAACTCCTAGTTTAAATAAAGTCTTATTAGGATTCATATTCTTATATTTATATTCACAAATATTGGAAATATATCTCTCATTGTCAAGTCTTTATTATTACCATATTTTGGTATTATAATCAGATTTTTAGCTTACAATTCTTTTCATGATAGCTTGATTTTCGGCTACTATTTACACGAAATATTTTTTTCTTATAATTTTATTAGCACTAGGCTTATTTTCTAATTTTAAAGGTGAATACATAGATGAATAATGCGGATTTTTCGAAATATTTTTACTTCCATTGATTTCATTTCTATTCATAATTCTTTTTAGTTTATTTATTAAAATATCGTTTTCTCTTTAAATTTCAACATTTCTTGATTCAATTAAAGCTTATTTTTTCTTTCTATTTTAAAGAAACATTAGTTATTAAGGTTATTGATTATCGATTACATGCTTCATTTATTTCAATTTCTATTCATGTAAATATATATTTCTTACGTGATCTCTATAAAAACATATTTTATTCTAGACAGGAATTGATCTATGCATTTTTTTTTATTTCTCTTTTTTTTCAAACTTTTTTCTTAGTCTAGTTTTTTTTTTTTTTTTTTTTTTTTAATTTAAATTTTTTTTTTTATTTATTTATTTTAAATTAAATAAATATATTATTTTTAAAATTATTATGTTGTTTATCTTCTTAATTGGTATATGTTAAATTTACTTTTTATACATATATATTTATTTTTATTTTTATATTTTAATTATTTTCAAAGAAAAAAATAAAAAGAAAAACATAAATAATAGATTTAGAAATGTAAATTTACAAATACTTAAATTTAACAATTCTAAACAAAATAAAGCTATAAATAAATTAATATATGAAATAAAATTTTATAAATATCATAATAGTGATATAAAAAAAATTTCTAGGTTTTTAAAGATACTATCTATTCACTAAAAGATTAAAAATAATATAATATTTTTTCAAAGAAGAAGTCTTTTACAAAATCTCGTATTTAACTAACAGAAATAATAAAACTATAAAATAAAAATATAAAAAAAGGAAATGTTACATACAAAAGCAAATAATTATGTATTTAATATAGAGTTTTTATCTTAAGAATATTGTCAATTGTTTATATAAGGATTATATTATTTTAGTAAAAAGACATAGAATATTGAAATATCAAAAAAGAGGAAATATTAAATAAAAGTCTAGCCAAAAAAATTATTGATAAAATATGATGATAATGGAAATAAATAATCAAATCTTTAAGAGATAAAAATTTGTTAAAATATTAATATATTGATATTAGCAGAAAATACTTATAATAAATTTTTGATGATTATAAAGACAGATTTAAAGATAAACATTAATTTTTGAGAACTATTTTTATAAAAAATAAACTTTTCTAAGTTTTTTAATAGTATTGTCAATTAGATGGATTTAAAAATTTTATTTTATATAATTTTAAAATTTCAATAGAGAAGAATAAAAAATAAAAGAAATACTAATCTATCGAAGTATTATTTAAATATTTTAAAAACATTAATAGGTCGATATCAATATGGAATAAGAATCTATTATAGATTTTTATTAATTTTTTAATATTATTTTTTCTGAATAAAATTGCATTTACAATTAATATTATTAAGAAATCTATTAAGTAATCTTTTCATTTTGTTTTTTTGTTATAAAAAAAAAGAAATATGAATAATATTCTTAAAAATTACTTTATAAGAACTTCTTTCCCATAATACTTATTTATATTAAAATTATTTAACTGGAAAATCTAGTTTAGAAAAATATATAAATGCTTTAAAAAAAATGTAGATGTTTAGAAATAGATTACTAGGTATTTTTTTTTTAAATAAATAAAATTTTTTAAGTATTAAAAAATACTAATATATAGGATGAAGATAATAATGAGCCTATAGTATATCATGGATATACATTAAGTTCTAAACTAATAATCGCAGATTTTATAAAAACAGTAAGTGAATATACTCTCAGTTTTTATTAATATCCTTTAGTTTTGTCTTTAGAAACACATCATTCATTTCCTCAGTAATAAAAAATGGCATTTTATTAAAAAGAAATTTTAGGTCAATACATTTATTTGATTCCATAAAATTGAGAAAGTATTAAAAAATATATTTCTATCCAGAAGAATTTAAAAATAAGATTATTATTAAGAAAAAGGGAAATATTAATAATCTAATTTTTGGGATTAGAAAATTAATAAATATATACTTAAACAGTAGAATATGAAGAAGAGAACGATATATAAAATTAAGATTTGGGAAAAGATACAAGATTAAGTTATTTTTTTACCTTTAGACTATTTAATAGAAGGATTTAGGGTTTTACCTTTAAGGAATTATTAGTTTTAAATTATTTAATATAGCTTTATCGTGGCTATTATTTAATGATTAATAAATAAACATTTTTTTATAAATATATTAAAATTCTTAAAATTTATTTATGATTTGTTTTACATTTAATTTGCTAAATTATTTAATTTATTTTTTATATTAATTGAAGTATTTTTTTTTTTATAATTTAGATTTAAGCAATTTTTATTAGAATTTATTTTTACATAAAATCTATTTTATCAAAAAAAAAAAAAAAAAAAAATGATTTTTTTTTTATTATTTTTTAAAGTATTTATTTATTCTTAATCGAATGGTTTTGATGTATATATTTAGTAGAATAAATAAACTAGTCTACTTAAATAAATAAAAATTTTATAGGATATTAAATTGCTCCGTTTGCTCATATTCCCTATGGGAGAATATTAAAAGGTAATATTTCATTATTATATGATTAAGTTGATGATTCTTTTAACTATAAAAACTATTAAAATTAACAAAATTAAAATCCGGTTAATAATTGTTTTAATGATAAAAACTATTAAAATAAACACAATTAAAACAATTTTATTCTAATATATAATAAACAATCTGAATGTCAGCTAACAACATAGATTTATAACGCATATTTATACGGTTATAAAGCTATTATAATAGTAAATTATTTAATTAATTATAAAAAATTATTATATATATTAAAAAAGACTGATAATAATTATGTTCATAATACTAAATTGAATGTACCTTGTATAGTAATAAAAGAAGAAGATGCCGAATTATTGATAAATTAATTAGAAAATAATAATGAACTTTAACTTTAAATTACATTCACTAAAAAAAAGTTCGAAAAATTAGATATAAAATTATTTTTAAATCTACCATCTTTAAAAACAAATTATTTATTAAAAAGAATTACCATAGAAAAATCAATATTAAAAAATAATTAAAGTAATAAAAACTAATATTAATTTATACATATATAAGTCTTATATATAAATAGCTGAATTTTATCCTATATATAATATTTATGAATGTTAACAATGTAAAGAATAGTAATTTCAATCTTATGCATTAGATTGTATATAAAATGGTAGATTTTGTACAAGTGACCCTGATAGGTAAAATAGGGTGCCATTACCAAAATAATATATGGTTTCTACAGGCGAAAACATAATTTAAGAAATCATAAGGTAATTATGTATTTTTGAATAAAATAAAAAACTTTGGATTTCTTACATGAAAATCTTTGCAGAAAAGTGCTTTTTACCAGAGTTTTATGAAAAATGCAGTATGTTTATTATTAAAATTATTAATAATTTAGAAGAAAATAATGATAATATTGAAGATAAATTTAAACAATAATTTTAAGAAGAAACTGATTTTTTCAAAAAAATGTTTAATCAGAATTTTTAGAATGAGAATGATGATTAAATTAATTTTAAAAAATTAATTTTCTGTTATATATAAAATTAAGCAGAGAATAGCCCTTTTTTATTATAATAATTAAAATTTAACTAAAAGTATAATAATTATTATTTATAAAGATGGCCTTCTATTTAATTTAATAATGAAATAATTTATAGTGAGTTTAATGATTTTCAAAATATTTCTAAAATTATTTGTGAAAGTTTAAATTAAAAAGATATTGAAGGTTGCATAAAAATAAAATAAAAATAAATAAAATCAGAGGGTCTTTTAAGTTTATTTAATGATAAATATATTTTGTATTTAATTAAACTTTATTTATTTGGGATTTTTCTATTATTAGCCTTTATTTTTATATTAGTTTATGTTTTTGGATTAGCATTTGTCAAGCAAAAAATATTAGAAAATGCATCTAAGTATATAGAATAATAAGAGAAAAAATTATATTAGATAAATTGATAACAGATATTTTAAATTAGTAAAATATATTTTTTGTTATATTTATTTGTAATATTAATTAAAATTATAATTATTTAAATGATAAATGAATAAATTAATTTGCATTTATGCGTATATAAAATCGATATAATGAACTATTCATATATCATTTAAAATAAATTAATATAATTTTTTAACATAATTACTTATTTATATGTTACTTAATTTACTATAAAAAATTTTGGTGATAAAATACAAGTCTTAATTAATTAGTCCTTCTATTTTGAAAAAAATTCAGAAAATAATATATATCACATAAGTTTATACAAATAAATAAAAAAAATTGTTTTTACAATTATTTTATAATATTTAAGTAAATTTTAGATATTAATAAAAAATAATATAATAAAATATATATAAAATATATTATATATACAAAAAAATAAAATGAATTATTTATTTTTATAGAAATGTTTTTTTGATAATTTTTTAATTGAAAAGATTTTTTTAAATTATATATATATTTTATTTTATTTTAATTTTTAAATATTTTTGTTTAATTATTCTATATAAATGTATAAATATTTTTTGTTTAATTCATTAGTATTAATCTAATTTTCTTTTAATATCTCTTTGTTTTTTAAGCTCTTCTATGTTCACAATATTATTTTCTTCGTTTTTAATATTTTTTGTATAACTAGAATTATTACTATTAATATTATTGCTACTATTTTTATTTATGTATTTATTAAAATTAGAATATGCATAGTTTTAAGTAAGAGGTCTTTACTATTTTTTACTAAAAAATAAATAAATAATTAAAACTCAAAAATAATTAAATATTACTTTAACTAAATAAACTATTGATATTTTTATTATTATTAATTTTAATTCATATTATTAGCTATATTATTAAATGTCGTTGTTTAATTTCCTTTAATTAAATCATTATTTATATTTTTTTAATGAAGTCTAAAATTTTATTTAAAAAAATATATAATTTAAATATATTTTTTTACTATATATTTTCATTTATTTATTTTTATATATTCAATAAATCATGAGCAACATTTTATAATTTATCAGGATCGTTAGGTTATGATAGGGCATTAATAATATTATCTACAGAAACTAAAAAGAAAAAAAATATTAAAAATAATAAAATTATATATATATATATATACTTTTAATATCCAAACTATATTTTAATTATTATTAAGTAAGAAATTAAAGATTTTCAACTTCTTATGGATTAAATTTATTTTCTAATTCTAATCTGAGTTACTGAATTTCTTCTTATTATTATTCATTTTCTTATTAAAGTTTTAAAAGTTCTTAATTTACAGTTAAATTATCTTATGTTATATTATACGGAATTCCATTTTCATAATTTTAGTGTTAATAACTTTCTAAAGACATAACCTTAGATTATATTTATATTATTAATTTATTTTATTGTAAAAAAATATATAAATACTTACATTTTCTTCTTTTGGGAAATAAACATTTTCTTCTTTTAATACATTTTCTAATTAATTAACTCTATTTATTTTATGTTATAGAGACTCTTCTGTTTCCCTATGAATTCTATCATAAGCCTCCAATTCTTCTTATAATTAAATAATAGTCTCATCTCTTTCATTAAGTCTAGTGGTAAGAGCAATCATAATATCTCTTTATTTCAACAAAAGTTACTTATAACGATCAACTTGAAGTTTATCTTCAACAATTATTTCCCTTTCTTTTTCTAAATCTTGTAATCTTTTTTCATATTACTATCTAATAAGTTTTTATTATTCTTCCAATGCACTCCTAAATTAAGGAGTATCTTCAATCTTATGTCCTCCAACAAGTATTTATGTATTAATGCTTCTTATTTTTTCTTCTAACTTTTTTTTTCTTCTCTTTCTAAAAAGAACTCTTTAGATCTTTTTTCCAAAGCCTAAATAGCATTTTTCTTATCTTATTCGGCTTTTTTTTTATCTTCTTCTAATTAAATAACCCTACTTTTATCATAAATAAGTTTATTTCGCTCTTCCAACTCTCTTTTTAATTATTTTAATTCGATTTCATATTTTCTCAAAAGTGCTCTTTAATCTAAATCTTCATTTATAATTGGCTAATTTTTTATATTTTTGGCCCTATTGGCGAATTTTAATGAACTTAAGCTTTCATTAAAAGCTTCCTAAGCAGGAGAAATCATTGCCATCATTGTTGTTTTACAGTTTCCTCCTAATGAATCTTCTAAAAGCCTTGTTAACTTTTTTAATTTTATATAAATCAATATTTTATTTTTTATTTACTTTAGAATCTCTATAAGGAATATGTCCTTTTTAATATTTATAATCCGTTAAAGCGGAAATTACATTACCTAAACATGATAATGACTAGTTGATTTTTTTACATTCTTCTAATCTTTTTCCAGTTGCTCCTGTAACTCTTACTCTTTCACTTCCTGCGAGATCGACAATATTTAATTTTCCGACTTTTATTTATTTTACTTCTTCGGAATCTTAAGTCATCTACTCAATTGTAATAATAAAAACTGCATGTGATCTAGAAGATATATCATTCATTTTCGTTGATGCTGTTCTCCTCGATTATGCGCCCTTTTGTATTAATGAAAATATTTCAGTTGGATTTCGAACTGCCCATTCTGAAAGGCCGTCTACGAATACTCCTTTTTTCTTATCTTCTCGAATGTTTAAATTGTTTCTTTCAGAATGTATCAAATCGCTTATTATTTCATTATATATTTATAAATAACTGGCACGGACCATAAAAGTGGTCTTTTTTTAATTTGTATATTAAATAAATTGTTTTTATATATTTTTTTTACAGATTCATTTGAACATGTTTCTATATATTTAAATATCTCCTCTATCGATCTTGGGATTATTCCTCTTTATGGATCCATAGAATTATATTTAAAACCTTCCATTGTAAAGGTTTTTCCTGTTCCTGTTTACCCATAAGCCATTATTGTAGCATTAAACCCTTATAAGGCACTAATTACTGATTAACGGGCAGTATTATCGTAAACATCTTATTATGTAGAATCCTGATCATATACATGATCAAAAGAAAATTAATGCATAGTATAATTATTTGGATTGTTTAAAAATTCTTATAATTTTTCGGATTCTACTAATTCAATATTATAATATTCGTATATACATATTTTCTTTGATTCAGGAGAAACCTAAATCTATTTTTTATTTTTTTAATTATTTTTATAAATTATTTATTTTTACTGTTGATATAAATTTTCCATCGTCTATTTCTCTTGGTAAAGGAGGGCGAACTCTTATTATTACTTTACAATTATCTTTATTATTTAAATTTATATGGCTACTGTTTTAACTTATATTATTTATGTTTGAATTTAAAGAATATCCGCTTGTATTTAAATTATCCTTATTTATTTTTATTTTAATATTAAGATTTTTATTATTGTTTTTTTATAATTTTTTTTTTTTTTTTTTTCTAAAACCTTTTTGTAGCTGTTCATTTTTATTTTATTATTTTTTTTTTTATATATATTTAAATTTTTAATATTATTTTTCAAATTATAATGTTTATTTTTATAATCATATTTTTCAAATATTTAAACGTAAATCATTTTTATATTGTTTTGTATTTTTAAATATTGAATGTAAAAATAATTATAAATAAATATTAATAAATATTAACAAAGAAATAATAACTTAAATGTTTTAATATTATGTAGATTAATTGTAAACATCAAATTAATATTCATAAATAATTTTATTTTTAAATTTAAAAAAAATTAAATGAAAAAATTCCTATTTTTTCAAAAATAAATTATGCAAGATTTAGCAATTTTAGTTCAAATTAAAATATTATTAAACATTAAAAAAAAAAATATGTAATTTATTTATAAATTTTCTTATTTTTTTTTATTTTTTTTATTTTTTTCAAAACTCAATTGACTAAAAAGTCTTGAAAAAAATAGATAATAACTTTTTTTTTTATTTTTGATTAGATTTCTTAAAAAAAAAAAAAAAACAAGAATATAAAAAATAAAAATTCAACAAATAATATAATACTTATACTGTAAATCATTAATTAAGACCACTCGCCTCAATTCCAAACTTTTTTGTTATCTCAAAGAAT